TCCCTGTGTTTCCAGCTCTGATCTGTACCAGTGTACATCCTCTGGTCTAGCTGGATTTGTAAGGTAGAATTGGGATCATGATAGTGGTGGGGAAGCATTAAAGAACTAGAGGAAAGTTGTATGTTTCATGGTGCTATACTGCACCTTGACTGACTTGTCTTTTCCCCACAACCCTTCTGTAAGGGGATGTACAGTTGCTTATAGATGGACTTTGGGTCCCTACTCTGCACTCCCCCTCATTCACAATGATATGGTTTTTTTTGTTCTTTGATGCCTGATACTTGATCCTATCGACCCCTTGTGATCACACAGGCTGGTGTGCTTCTTCCATGTGGGCTTTGTTGTTTCTCAGCTAGATGGCTGCTTGTTTATCTTCAAGTCTTTAAGACCCCAGATTCTCTATTTTTTGATAGCTGGGCACCATCAGCTTTCTTCACCACATTTGCTTATGTACCTGCTTTGTCTTCAGTGAACGTGTCAGGAAGGTGAGCATCACAGAATGCCAGTTTAGTAGAACAAGGTGTTCTTGCATTGAGGGAGTACTTGAGTAGAGACCCAATGTCCATCTGCTACCTTAGTACTAAACCTATAAATATATGCACATAGATCTATTTCCCCATCATCATATATAATTATATTTACATGCCTGTATTTAGACCTCTATTTCCTTTTACTTTCCTCTTGTCCCACTATCATGTTCTGCCTTAATTTGGGTCTCAGTAATTACTCTCAGTTATATTGCCCTTGATCAAGCCCTACCAGGCCTCCTACACCTTCCTCCCTATTGATTTTGGGATCACTTGTTCCCTAGTTCCTGGGGTTGTTGACACCCACTTCCTTTCCCCTGCTTCTCCCTTTGCCATTCCCCAACCCCCCACTAACCATAGATCCCATTGTTTTCTCCTCCAGATTGTTTATCCCGCCTATCTTATCTAGATAGACCTGCAGAGATAATAATATACATAAAAAAACAAGACAGAGCAAAACTAGGAGTGTTTTCCAGTCAAGTCTGATGGGGTGTCTGATTGTATGCCTTAGGGACTTCGTTGCTCTGTCCCCCTTGCTATTCTGTTCACACCCTTAGTGTTTCACCTCAGTGTGGTGGGGTCAGATCAGGCACAGTTCCCGCACTGTGTCGCCAGTGTTGCCCCCCGTAGCACTATGGGTCAGTGACGGACATCATGTCTCCTAGTGGGGCCGGCCCTATGATTGGTCCTCTCTGTGCTTTGGCTGCTCTGAGCCAGAATATTGTCCTCAGGGCTTGGTGGAACAGGATGTGTTCCACTCTCTCTTCCTCTTCCTTCATTTGCTCCTGTGTGCTCTGATCAGACATGACTCACTCCTAGAGCTGTAGCTTCAGTGCTGCTTTCTGAAATGAAATATTCTGCAGAGAGGGGAGGCTGTCCACGTAGTTGGGATTGAGGCTGGCCCCTCAGACCTCTCTATGATTTTAAGGAGCTAAGTGTAGGGATAATGGGGAGTGACTGGGAAAGTTTATGCTGTTTTATTTTTAGGGTAATGAAATATGCGAAAATCTGTAGTGATGGTTATACAACTACAACTCTTAATACACTAAAACCTACTACACATTTAAAAGGATGATATAAATTCTTTTTTTTAGTTGTTGTGCTAGTCCTCCTTTGCCAGATGATATAATTTCTTATGATAAAATTCACATACCCAAAAAGTCACCCATTCTTTTTTTCTCTCCAAGTCACCCATTCTTTATGTACTCTGTACTTTTATCAGATAATATGATTTGCAAACATACTCTCCTACTCTGAGTTTTTTTTTTTTTTTTTTTAAGGAAAAAATTTCAAAATTGATGTAGTCCTATTTATCTTTCCATTTGCCACTTAAGCTTTTGGTGTCAGATTTAAAAACAAAGTTCCCTGATTCAAGATCTGTGGAAGATTTACTTCTATATTTGTTCCTTTGAGTTATGCTTTTAGCTTCTCCATTGAGGATTATGGTCCATTTTGAGTTAATTTTTGTGTGTGGTACAAGAAAAGGGTCCCCTCTTATTCTTTTGTATGTGGGTATCAGTTTTCCAACATCATTTGCCCCATCAATGAATTGACCTGGCAACCTTGTTGAAAATCAGTTGATCATAAATATAAGTTTTAGTTTCTTGATATTTGGACATGTTCTATTTTTCAGTTTTACCTTAGGCTACAGTAAATAAACCTATGGTTCAGATGGACTCACTTCACACACATTGTCAGTGACTTAAAAAATTTAGGCCTTTGAAAGGAGAACGATTTAAAGAGAAAGGTCATAAGGGCAACACAATGGTACTTTCTAATCAACCAAAACGGAACCCTGGTGGTGTAGTAGTTACTTGTATGGGGCTGTGATTCCACAAGGTCTGAAGTTGGAAAACTGACTTTCTACTCCTGTACACAGTTACAGTCTCAGAAACTAACAGGACCAGTTCAACCCTGTCCTATAATGTCATTATGAGTCAGCATTGACTCGATGATAGTGAGTTGTTGAAGTGAAACCAAAAAATGTAGCGGTTGACTTAAGCTAGGCATTAGTGACAGTCTTCAGACCAACACATTGCCCTTTTCATCACTTCGGAACAGCTTGCTAATTTTATCCATCTGATTCAATGATGATTGAGAAAGACAGAATGATCATAAAATGGAAGGCTGTGAACTAGAAGCCATTGAGCCAGTTAAGCCAGGTTCCACAATCCAGTGACCACTTGTCTCTCATATTTAGCAAGTCTTAAATGTATTTAAAAACAGTCACTGATTCCAACTAATGGCATGAAACAAATAGTTGGCTGTTAACTAAAAGGTTGGAGGTTCAAATCCACCCATTGATACCTTGGAAGAAAGACTTGTTTTCAATCCGATTATGAAAAATTAGATGTTGAAAACCCTACGGAGCATAGTTCTCCTCTGACACATATATAGTTAAGCAGGCTTTCAAGATACACTAATAAAGGCACATCTGCAAAGACCCTATTTCCAAATCATGTTCACGGGTACCAGGGGTTAGGACTTAAATATGTCTTTTTGAGAGATACAACCAATAACAATGTGTTTTCTATGCTTTTTCTTATGCACATGTATCTAAAAATCTACACAGTTATAAGCAAAGTTTTATATATCATAAAATTTATTCTAATTTAGCTCATCTTCAATCTTTTTTGTAGTGCATCTTCTAATCTGAAAAAGTCTTCCATGAAAGCTTCACTTTTTAAAAAAAAAAAAAAGCAGTGCCATCTGTTTTCCTAAAAGATTGATGTGGGGGCTGTCGTTTTGAGGTAAGTATCCTATTTTGTGTTTTTGTAGTTATTTAGATTATTATTTAGATTATTTCCCCAATTAAATATAGCAGAAATATATGGGTGTTTCAGAGGTTCTTACTTTTAAATTACTTTGAATGGAGTACAGCGTGTGGGTGGGGTGGGTCAGAGATGACTCTAGGCCTTGGTTGAAGATAGGTATTTTAAAGGTTGGAGATTCAAAACATTCAGCTGTGGAAGAAAAGTATTGCTGATCTGCTTCCCCTATGATTATAGCTAAGAAAACTTTATGGAGTGGTTTTTACTCTGCACACATGAGGTCACTGTAAGTTAGAATTGACTCAGTGGCAGCCAACAGCAACAGTAATGATTTTGACTCTCAAAATCTCTACAAAAATCTTTCTTCCAAGGCTGGAGAATAACTTATAGTGTTACTCTAGTCGTAGTGTGAATGGTACAGACATGCTTCCTGCACTCATTGAGTATATAGTTAGCAGAAAAAGTTAGGTGTGGAATGAATAATTTGAACTGAATTGATTAATTACAGCTTTGATAAATATTGCAGAAATGAAATGATGATTACCCAAGAAAGTAGTGGTAAAGTAGGTGATTTTAATTAATCTGTGTGTGAGGGAAAGGAAATTCTAGCCTTGGTTGAAAATAGTCTGGAATTTAGGATGTTTACTACAAAGTTAAGAACGGGGTTTCATGAGGAAAGAGGAGGCGGTCAGTAATGTTGGAAGCTTTTTAGCGATGTTAATTGTAAACTGGAGAAACTTTTTTTGATTTGATAGTTATGGGACCATTTGACAGTATAGATTTCAGAGGTAGTTTGGCAGGGAATGTGGAAGAAAGCAGCCACAAATATATCCAACATTTTGAATTCCAGTAGCTGAAAGTATGATGGTGCCATTAACCACAAGAAATGGCAGATATTTGGAGGATGATATGAGAAATTCTGTTAGAGACATTTTGATTCTGGGGATACAGATAAAATTTTAAAACCTCTTCATTGTGAAAATATAAGACAAACTTAAAGATAATTTAGGGTCTGATGTTAAGGATTTTGGGGTAGTTCACATAGAGGTTGAACTGTGGCAGTATGTTATATCACCAGTTATAGCAAAGCATAAAAACTAGAGGAGATGTTTATTTTAAATGAGTGACTGTTAAAAGAATTAGTAAAAGAAAAAATAAAAAGAAAGGAAACCAGATAATGCACTGCTTTTCTCTTAAGTACAATAAAGAGCCTCAAGGAGAGGCTCTTTAGACAGCTAGGATGCTGTGGAATGATCAAAGACTCCATGCTCTAAAAGAGGCCACTGAATTTTGATTAAGAGGTATTGACAACTGAGTAGACCAGGATAAATTGCAAGAGGTTCAGAAGTAAGTGTTTTTAGAAAACCATATAGCACAAAGAATAAAATAGAATGTTTTCAGAAGGGTTAACTGTGTAGGAAGGAAGGCTGTGATCATTTTGAAGAGGGAAAAATCTTTTCAGTTGGCAGGCAGCAACTGGACTGCTAACCACGAAGTCTGCAGTTCAAATCTACTAGCTGCTTCTCTAATGGTTTACAGTCTCAGAGATCATATGTAGGGTCATTATGTCTTGATAGTCTTGGGTTTTTATATTTTAGGTAAAAGGGAGAGATCTATGAGGATAATTTAAATATGTGATTAGATTAAAATTTTATAGAGTGCTTAATTTCTAAGGAGATGGGATCAAGGCCATGGGCAGAAAATTTAGAGTGGGTACCTTTATGCTTAGATACCAGAAGAATGGCAGGGTGGTTCAAGATACAAAGAATTTTTTAGGCAAAGAGGAAGAAGATCATAAAATTTCTTACCCTGTTTTAAAAATAAAGTAGAAAATGCGATTATCTATTAGACATCTCTAGGTGGCTCAGTTACTTTTTTGAACAGCTGCCGTGGGAGAAAAGCCTGGTGATCTGTTTCCATAAAGTTTATAGCCAATTAAAGTCGAAGCAGTTCTGCTCTTTAACACATGAATCAGAATTAGCCCAATGGCAACAGGCTTTTTTATTTGCTTTTTAGACGTGTAGTTAATCAACAATGGAGTTAGAATCCTGGGAGAAGAAACGTTAGGAAAAATATTGTAGAGCATTTACCAAATTCACCAAATGTTCACTGAACACCTGTTTTGTGTCAGCACTGTTATAGACAATATATCACTTCTTATGGAGCTAATCATTAAGGGAACGAAAAAGAAAAGCAATTAGTGACCTTATATGAAGATAATTAAAATAGTGTAAATAAGAGAGCGACCGGTTGGCTCCTTCTGAGGAAGTGTGACATTAAGGTAAGGGGTGAATAACAATAATCAAATCAAGCTCGTATACCAACTAGCATTCAAGAGCTTAAAATACCCACTGAATTGGGTAAATCTGCTGCCCAAAGACCTCATTAAAGTGTTGAAAATTTAGGATGCCACTTTGAGGACTAAGGTGTACCTCACCTAAGCCATGGTATTTTTGACAATTCGGCATGCATAACTCTTAATATTCTAAGATTGGACAAAAATGCTTAAATGAGTTGAAATTCTTTTCTTTCTTTGTTTATTTTTAAGAAAACCTTTGTTAACTTCCACAACTGGGAATTTTATAAGAAGCTGAAGAAATGTTCGTCTTGGTGTTACATACTAGGTGGGAACACACATCTGTTCAGATAGATGATAAAAACTCACTGTCATCTAGTGGATGGTAGAACTGCCCCTGTGAGTTTCTGAGGTTCTAACTCTTTACGGGAGTAGAAAGCCCTGTTTTTCTCCCAGTGAGCTGCTGGTGACTTCCAACTGCTGGCCTAGATGATAGGCCAATAAAATATTAAAAGAGAAGCTGTGTGGATGGGCTTACATTCCCTACAGAGAGGTTTTTGAAGCTATATAATTTCTTTGGAGTAGTCATTAAGATAAAGAAAAATTGAAGTAGGTCATATCTTGTGTTTTAAGTATTAGAGTTGTTCCTTAGTAAATGACGTTTTAATTTGAAAGGTTTAGAAGCGTTTTATCGTTGCACACGAACACCGTGGCAAACAGTGGTGCTGTTTAACCTTGCCTTCTAGTCTTCACTAGCTTCTCTTCCTCCCTTTCTCGACCATTCTTTGTCTCTGGGTTCTTTTCTCTGTAACATGTACTGAATATTTATGCAATTGGAAAAAACGTTCATAAAGATTATATTGTTGTGTGCCTCCTGTTTCTGATCCTTTGATAATGTGACGTGCTTTTGCTTTTACTCAGAAAATTACTGTGGCCAGTTTGTCATAAAGCCTGCTATAGACAGTAAGATATTGTGAAAGAAAATCTGGCTTTCTGTTTAGCATGACCTTTCAAAACTGTTTTCTTTGCGGCAAGCATCTCATTTAGCCTTTTGACTGCCATATGACAGAAGTAGTAAGTACATAAAGGGCAATATAAATGCCTGCCTTGTTGATCTCAACTCCCAATATAAAGACATGCTAAATAGCCACGCATGTTATTAATCATCATAGTGTTGTTTATGTGGAGGGAACTAGTTTTATGCATAGCACAAAGGATATACTTTAAGTTTACTTTTATAAATTTTCTAATATTTAAAATCTGAATTTTAGATAATAACTTTATTTACTCTTAAAAGGGGATCTGCATTTTTTATGCCAAGTTTTAGTGATTTTTAATACATGGAGATTATTATAATAATGTGGGGAATGATATTAAAGCAACCTCTGAGGGCAACTTTTTACTGTTTCTGAGTATTAAGACAAGCTTGTTTTAAAATGTGAAGAGCCCTGGGAAACCTCAGTAAGTACCAGCTTAATACTGAACTTGAATCTTTATTTGCCAGTGGTTGTCTAACGCTGTAATGTATTTATTAATTTGTCATTCAACACATCATTTTTATTTATTTTTAATCAATTTACATCCATACATCCATCCAAAACAAATCATTATTAAGGGCTTATCATGTGTCAGACACTGTGTTCCACCCTGTCTAGTTGTCAGCAAAAGTGGCAGGATCATAGCTCAGTCCTACAGCTGCTAATGACACTTCCCCCTTTGGCTTCAGAAGGAAAGATGATAGGAGAAGTACTGCATACCTGAGAATGTTCTCTCAGGACCCTTTGGTGGGTTAGTGCAGACAAGCCAGTTATAGGTGATAGCAAAGATCTGAAGCTTGAGCTTGATTATCACCAGTACTGAGGGCCATAGGCAGAAAGTAATGAAGTGTGTATGACATTTAGCAGAACATATAAAAAAATGTATAGTTTAAGGAACAATTAAAAACAAACAAACCCTGTAACAGTCTCTCTCCCACAAGAGACACTTAACTCAGATTTGTGCTCCTCCCTTGCTTTTCTTTATAATTTTACCAACTGTGCTTGAATTACTAAACAATATATTCAATTTAAATTAGATTAATAATTATATTGATTTTTCTATGAGTATGCTTGGGATTTTTTGTTATAAAAAATTTCACCTTACCATATATTCATTATGTGTCTCTGATATCATTGGGTAAGAGTTTTCCGAAGATATGTACCTAGAGTTATGAGTTGGATTCTATATGTGCAAAAGATATGTGGAAGTCTTAACCACTGGTGTTTTATTTAGAAATAGGCTTTGCAGATGTAAGTAGTTAAGTTAGCCTGAGGTCATATTTCAGTAAACAACATAAAAACCCCATACTGACTGCTATGGAGTCAATTCTGACTCATGACGACATTGTAGGATAGGGTAGAACTGTCTTGTTGGGATTCCAAAACACTCTCTCTTTAATTTAATGAAGTTGGTTTTATTTTTTAACAGTTTTATTGGCACTTTATTCACATATCACACAATTCAACATTTCAGTCACATTCAGAAGAGTTGTACAATGGTAACCACAATCAATTTTGGAATACCACCCACCCCCAACTCTTTACTACAAGGGTAAATAGCCTCATCTTTGTCCTTAGGAGCAGCTGGTGGGTTTGAACACTTGTGCCTGGCTGTAAACTAGGAGAAGCAAAGAAGGCTCTTCTAG